ACAGGCCTAGGAGCTAGTCCATCAACTACCATTCACCCCACAGACCAAAGAGGAAGGGAAGAGAAGGCCGAATACAAGACCGAATGGCAATGGGGTTAGTAAGTAAAGCTACCTGAAAGCTCTACACAGTCCCACCAGAAAAAGCCCAGACACACCACTGCACTGTGGGTGCCGCACAAGGAGCTGCTGTGAAATGCAAGATGACCTGATCCCCTAAACTCAGTTCCAAGGCTCCCCCGCACAGTGATGTTTTTTAACCTGAGGGAGCTCTAGAAGAAGAGACTGGGTAGAAACTAACAGAAACACTGAGCTAAGAAGGGACATCAGTGACCAGCCCATTCCTTCCCTTGGGTGTGAACAAAGAAGGCACAAAAGGCAATGGCACTCTTTAGGGGATGTCACTGTAGGGCAGGACGAAATGAAAGGCCTAGCCAATAAAGAACCCAGCTCCTGCAGCCTTCAAAGTGGCTGCCTACTTGCTAGTGTCCTAAAAACGAGTAAGCAATGTTCAGTTTGGCTTTCCCCTGAATACCATCAATATTCTTACAATAGTATTTTAAAGACTTGTGTATTACCAAAAAATAACTAAAAAAGAGCTGGGTGAATTCATACACATTGGCTTAACAGCTCTCCTAGGCATGACATCAATTCCAGAAGCCACAAAGGCACAGATAGACAAATGTACAGAACTACATAAAAATATATGATGAAAAACACACTTCTCTCTCTAAAAGGTCACAGGTAAATGGCAGATTGAAAGAAAATGCACACAGATTTGATATTGGGCTAGTTCTAAATTCTTTGTTAATCAAATTGGACTGACACAAAAATGTTTCCCAAAGAATTGGCAAAGGATACTGACAGCTAAAAAGAAAAAGATCTAGAAAAGACAAAAACATGTTTTAACTTTATTCATGATTATAAAGACATTTGAATTACAAAAAGAACAAAATGATACTTTTGGTAGGGGACAGTACTGGGGATTGAACCCAGGACCTTGCATGCAATAGGCAATTGCTCTACCACTGAGGCACACCACAATCCAAGCCATTAGATGTAAGTAAGCTTTTAAGTGCTGACCAATGTAATCCTGAGGGATAACTTGGTGTTATTTATCCACACATAAAAGGCTTTTGGTCTAAAGCAATTGCTAAAAACTGGGTCTAGGGGCCAGAGAGATACTCAGCAGGTAAAGTCCCTGCCACCAAACCTGATGACCCGCAGAAGGAAGGACTGACTCCTGCAAGTTGTTATTAGACATGCTGTCCCCACATGTGCAGTGACATGCATGTGTACCTGCACATAAATGAGTGCAAGAAAAATTATTTTAAAAAAGAATTTAGTGGCTGGAGAGATGGCTCAGAGGTTAAGGGCATTGGCTGCTCTTCCAGAGGTCCTGAGTTCAATTCCCAGCAACCACATTGTGGCTCACAGCTACCTGTAATGAGATCTGATGCCCTGTTCTGGTGTGCAAGCATATATTCAGGCAGAACACTGTATACATTAATAAATAAATAAATCTTTAAAGAAAATTTAGAATACAGATACAGTGCTTGCAGAAGCGTGTGTACATGTATCTTGTAGAAATGTGTATGTACACATATATGTGTGTATATATATATATATATATATATATATGCATGTAACAAGGCTTCTACTGTGCCTTTTTTTTTTAACCTCCTGCTGCAACCAGAAAAGAGAAACAACCACAAAAGAAGATTGGTTAAGAAAAAGCAGGGTGCAGTGGTATGCACATGAAGTCCAAGCTACTTGGGAGGTTGAGGCAGAACAGCCACTTGGGCCCTGGAGTTTGAAGGAAGCCTAGGCAACAATGAGAAGCTCTGTCCAAAACAAACAAAAAATTCCAAATCTATAATGAAATACAATGCAGTTATTAAAACGAACAGACAGATATGCTTCACTATGGAAGGAGCTCTATGATGAACTTAAAACTAGCCAAGTCTAGAACAATCTACACACATGATTTTTTCCCATGCTCATATCTCAAAAGAATCTACAGTTGACTCATTTTGTTCTTTGTTTGTTTGCATGTTTTGAAACAGGGTCTTACTCTACAGCCCAGGCTGGCCTCAAACTCAAGGCAACCCTCCTACCTCTGCCTCCCAAATACTGGGATTACAGGTGCACACTATCATGCCCAGCTTTCTCTTCAACAACATACATAGGGGTTAAGGTGCTAACGATATCCACAAGTAACTTTTGATTCTCCAAAAACTTAACCACTAATAACCTGCTATTGACTAAAAGTCTCATTGGTAACAGTCAACTGACACACAGTCCGATGTTACAGGTATTATACATGAGAACCACACAACCACCCCAGGAGGGCACTTTTAACTGACGACACATCCCAGTCACTGGAGCTGGTGAGCATCAGAGCAGTGGGAGGCAGCTTCGATCTAAGACTTGAGACTGCTCACCTGGAACTCACCATTTGTAGCAATCCTCCTGTCTCTGACTCGAGATAATACTGCATCTTTGTTTGTTTACATTTTCCTAGCACTTAGTTTACATTTATGCATACATACACGTTGATAAACTAACTTCTTACTGTAGCTTTGTGGTAACAAATGACAGAATAGTGTACACATGCTTATGCATTTGAGACACACCTTTTCCTTATTGTTTTCCATCTTTCTAGGCTTTCATGGTTTCTGGGGCTTTTTTTTTTTCAAATTGTGGCCAATATTTAAAAAACACACACACACACACACACACATATTAAGTGGACCCATTAAGGGTTTAGGGATTTAACTCAGCTACTTGACTAGCAAATGCAAAGTATGAGTGGCCACAGTCCCGATACAAGGAACACAGCAGGAATATCATGTGCAGAGACTCGAACACGGGGCTAGAGGAGGAAATGGGATTCCGGGTCAGCCACAGTGAATCTGAGTCCAGAGGATTCACAAGGACTCGGGGTGTGAGCTGGCATCCACTCTGGGACACAAGAGAGTCTAGAAAGGGCAAGCGGAGCTCAGGCTGTCCAGTGGCAGTATGGTGTGGGAGTGGAGAGACTAGTGATTGACCAACACTTTAAAAACTAGAGAGGACACAGCACTACAGAGCCATAAATAAATAAGTAAGCAAGCAAGCAAGTAAATAGATAAATAAATATAGAAGAGTTGAGAACCAAAGAATGCACCTGCTCCTGAGGAAAGAGACCCTCTAACATAGCAGCAGCAGGTCAGCTTCAACAAATCTGATGCTCTCCTAAACATCACTTCCACTGACTAGGATGGAAAGTAAAATCAGCACACCTACCTAACACTACATGTGAGGAAAAGAACACAAAAACTGGTAACATCCTTGTACACTACAACCTGTGCCACAGAGAGCCTACAAACAAGGGATTCCTAAACGTCACCTGGACAAAACAACACACATGGACCTAAAGTCCCCTCCCCAGTGATCATGGGTAAAGCCTCAGAATGATCTCCCCATGACAACCAGAGCAAAGCACAGACACGCAATGGGAGCTGTCTCACACCCTGATGAGCTCTTAGGTAGGACCTCACAAGAGGCTCTCAGTGTGGGTTAGTTGATGCACCCTAAACCAAGCAAGTAACTCAAGACCTCTGGACTGCCAGCACAGCTGTACCCTCAGCACTTAAAATGTCCTACTGAAGACCCTGGAGGTGCAGGACAGACAGGCAGGAGGCAAAATCTGCAAGGTGGCTGACTCTCATCTCACCTGGAAACACTGCAGCTTCACGATATGCTACACTTCCTTTAAAAATGCCCAGTTACACTTCCAAGAAAAGACAGGAAAGTGACAAATTTGGAAGTGCCTGAGGTACTAGAAAGGACCATTATTCTCAGTCAAGATGCCTGTGATTCCAAACCCAGTCTTGCAGCAGCCCGATGAGCAGCAGGGCTGCAGGAAGCATTGTGATGCTGATGAAACTCAATGCAAGGAAAAAAAACAGGGAGGAAATGGCATTCTGTGATGGATATTCATGAAGGGCGCTTCCTAATTTAAAGGAAAACAAGTTTAGAGTTCTTACTGCATTAATTCATGTGAGAGAACATTTTTATCCGAACTGTTACATTTCTGAGCGAGGCGCTAACACTCTCCAGGTCTGCCCAGATACACTAATTTGGGGAGGGTGTGATTTGTCTTAGTCAATGCAAAACACTGGATGGAGCTGCTTCTGAGCTTTCCAAGTAGGAAAGGAATGGCCGCTTCAACCTCACCAGCAACAGTGAGAACTGGCTGCTCTTGGCTCCTGCTGTGCACACTGTGCAGAGGAAGCTCTTCCTGGCAACACACACAGATGTTGCAACTATCCCCACTGTACAGATGAGGAGACACCCTCCAAGAGACTTTTCTGGGTCACTCAGCTAATGACTGACCCAGCCAGGAACTGAACCCACAATTTGTCAGTCTCCAGAGCAAAAGTATAGACCTCTCAGAAGGAAGAAGACTTTAACTCAGGCATCCTGGTGAGATGTATAGCTTTTCTTGGTGCTAATCCTCATGACCAACTTCAAGTGGCAAGACAAATTCCATTCAAGATGTCCTGCACACACAGAGTCAGCTGGTCTGACATGGAGGTGAGGGCCATTTGTCAAACTGCTCCAACACTTCAAACGGTTTTCAAATTCGACTGTGAAATGCTTGGTGCTTTCATTCTGTCAGTAAAGTAGGCCCCCAAAGTGTTTCAAAATCTTTGCTTTTTTTCTAAAGATAAGAGTCTTGCTATGTTTTGCATTCAAACTCCTGGGTTGAGCGATCCTCCTGTCTCAGCCTCCCCATTAAGGTACCAGAGTTTTGCACCACTGTTCCTGGCTAGATGTCTCACATTTGAACTGTAAGCTGAAAGGATCTGTTTCAGGCAGAAGGAGTAAGCGTTCTTAAGGCAAGACCTCGATATGAATTAAGGCGCAGCAGCTTATTTACTCATGGCTGGCTTTTCAGGAGATCTAGAAACTACACACGTTCCACCTCTTAGAACAAATGAATTAGAAAGGCTCACCTTGAACTGCATTCTTCCAAGGTGCTTTCCATGCCAGCAACATCAACAGAAAACAACCATTAGAAGCTTAACTGCGCTCAGTTGGTGACCTTCACTAAGCTAAATGCAGCAGTTTGTCAGCTACAAAACATTAAATGGACACAATTAAGAAGTCTGAAAGCATGAAACAGAATTTCAACTAAAGAAACATGAAAATTAGTGGAAATATATATGATGGGACTCTGGGGTCACAATACTTGACATTCTTGCTTCATCTGGAAGACAGAACAGAGACATGTGTATTGGGCAGACAGAGCTTGGCAGCCCATCTTCCCTCCACTCTGAAACACCACACCTAGTCATATAAAATGTCTTCAGCAGTTCCGAAGCTCTGCCGCCTCCTTTGTGTGCCATCTTCATTAAAATCCACAGAGGCTGTGGAGAGGGCTTCATTTGTACAGTGCTTACCATGCAAGCATGAGGGCCCGAGTCTGAATTCTCAGCACCTGTGTAAATGCCACGCACAGGCTCATGCTCTGTAACCCCAGCACTGGACAGTGAGGACAGGAGGCTCTCTAGGGCTTGCGAGCCAACCAGTCTGGCTGAATAGTGAGCTCCAGATACAATGAGAGACCCTGTCTCAAAAGAATAAAGTGGAGATGGGAGCGAGCGGTGGAAAAGGATCCCGGCGCTAGTGCACACACACATACAGATATACAAGAATGAACACACACCTGTAACAACGCTACAACGCAGACTTTATTACACATTACAAGCAAGAAAAGGCAGCCTCGAGCTGGGGATGTAACTCGGGTAGAGCATTTGCCTAGCATGTGCCAGGCCCTGGGCTAACTCTTCAGCACCAACAAAGAAAAGAAGAAAAGGCAGGCTCAGAGAACGTGATAAACCACTCAGCTTCACACAGCTATTGAGTGTCTGTGCTGAGACTCAAATCCAGACCTGATCCCAGACCTGACTTTCTCCCCCCACAGCCTTAGACTTAAGAATTACACTTTTTTTTTCTTTCCCCGGGATCAGGAATAAATACTAACGTTTCACAGAATTTTTTCTGTGCTTTTTGCATGTGAGAATAAAATTGAAAACATTCACCTGGAATTGCAGCATTAAATGCCAGTAGTTACAGAGGACAGAGGAAGCTAATAACTAAACAGCTTCTCCTTTAAGAAAAAAAAAAAAAGTTGTTTACCAACAAAAATCAAGAACTATTTGAGGACCTATTATCAAAATTCCAGTTCCAGCATCAGGTAGCAGAAGAGTCTGAAAGAAGCATTAACAGGCTGGGTCTTCAAACAAAACTCCTGCTCCAGCCGGGCCAGGACAAGCTCAACAACCAAGGAAGCTTGCTGCAGAGTCCCAGTGCCACAAAGGCATGGGGGTAGGGCGGTGAGGGAACACCCTTTGGAGGAAGTATATCTTCAGCAGGGGCTTGAAGGAAGTAAAATGGAGAATGTGCTCAGAGGGCTGGACCAACAGCCCTAGAGGGAGTCATAACCTGGGCAAACTTGGAGAAGCAGAGGCCAGGGAAAAGTCAGGTTTAGGTGAGGGTAAAGCCAAACCTGAAAGACCCTTAAACGGGGATGGAGGGAGCAGCAAAGGCTGGACACCACAAACAGGCAGGATACACTATTCAGCTTTGAACAGTGGTCTAACTGCCAGGGCACCCTAGCTCACCTCATAGCCTCTAGCCTCTTTCTTCCACCTCCTGCAAAACACACACACACACACACACACACACACACACACACACACACACACACGTTGCTGGAATATGCCTGCTTCTAGAATAGTTTTAACTTTGGCCTAGTGTTCAAGATCTTTCAGGAACCCAGCCTAATCAATCTTTCCTCTTACTCCTCTCCCATCTTAGTCCTCGGCCAGAGGGCTGGTCTAGTCACTAATTCCATAGGATCTTTTTTTGCCCCCAATATGAATCCTTTGCCACCCGGTTCAAGTACCACCTCCTCACTAAGCCCCACCACCGCCCCTAGTGACCTATACCTCTCTATAGCACACAATCTTGTCTCATGGACATTACCTTTCCACCGGCAATGTCTGAACATCCAGTGTAAAGCCTTGGTTGGGGATTAGGCTGCTTTCAACTCCTTTCGTCCACCACTCACAGCATTTTGACATTTACTAAGCAAGCAAGCAGTCAACTATTTTTTTACTTCCTATACTAAGTTTGGCGTTAGCATAAAGGAAGGATGGGGGAGGGTGAAACCTCTGGAGTCAAGAGACCAGCTAAGAAGCTGTTGCAATAATCCAGATGTGAAGCAAAAACAGCCTCGACTAAGGAACAAAGAGAAAATGAGCAAATACAAACGGCAAAATGCTTGCATGCAAAACGCTGCACAGGAAAACTGTGGACGACAGCAAGGGACGACGAAGGGTCAGTAAAGCTATTTCCAAGGAAACGCTTCTGGGAATCATTTTAAACCTCCCTGAGACAAAGTGCACGAAGTGGTTAAAAAGTCTACATCTGGAAGGGGAAAAAAAATGTCTTCAGTAAAACTGCCCCGCATGTTGAACCGGGCACAGACAGACCTTGCAATGTCAGATATTCACAGCATGAGGGTCTGTAGGGAGTTCATCTAAACTCTCAATTCTCACGTGGAGAAACTGAGGCCCAGCATGGAAGAGACGTGCTGAAACCCTCAAGGTGGAGCGTCCCAGATCTGAGTAGCCCAAAGCAGTCACTTGGCCTAGGCAGGCAGTGTTTTACACGCCCCCTCCCCAGTCCGTCCTCAGCTGTGCCCGAGTGACCACGGAGACCTCCCCGGCCAAGCTTGACACGCGCCGCCTGTTTACCTGGCGCAAGGCGGTGGCCCGAGGCAGCAGTTCCAGGTCAGTCTGCCGCTGACGCCCCCAGGCCGGGCCTGGCTCTCCGGGGGGCCACGGTCACTCAGACCCCCTCGGTCCAGAAAGGAGAGCGAGGCGCCCAGGAGAGGCGGCTGGAGGGGTGCAGAGCAGCTGCCCTGGTTCACCCCTCGGGGCCAAGCGCCCGGCCTCCGGCAGGTGCCCGGGCCTTAGGACCGCGCCCGGCCGGCCCCCGCACTGACCAGGCAGCATCTCGCCCGCCCCGCCTCACCCACGAGGAGCCGGACAGCCGCCCCACCGGCCGTCCCGACCCTGCCGCCTCCGCCCGCGACCCGCCAGCCTCACCTGGGCCGCGCGCCGCGCTCACATCGCCCGCCCGCGGCGCCCCCTCCGCCGCCGCCGCCGCCGCCGCCGGCGCCAGGCCCTTCCCCGCCGCTCCCGCTGCCGCCCCTGCCCGCGCCCCCCGCCCCCGGAAGCGCTTCCAGGCCCCGCCCCCTGGGCGCCCGCGCTTCCGGGCAGGCGCGGACCGGGCGGTTGTCGCTGCGGCAGAGTCTCTGGCGGGGGGCTAGAGTCTGGTCGGAACCCTGGTTCCCGGCCGGAGCTGCGAGCGGACCAGGGGACGGTGGGGCGGCTGAGCGGCAACCCGGCTGTGGAACCCGCCCGGAGTCCCGACTCTGCAGCCCGTGGCCTTCCGCCCGCCTTCTCCTCGGCGCCCCCTGCTGGCCGGAGCGGGACTCGGACCTGTGGAAGGCCCACACCTGCGACCGCCTTCCTCTCACTTTTTAGTTCTTTTATTAATTTTGGGTTTTGTTTTGAGACAAGGTATCAGAAACAGAATTCCCCTATGTAGATAAGGCTGACCTTGAACTCACAGAGATTCCCTAGGGTTAGGATTACAAGAATGAGCCTCCATGCTCAGCTTCCTGGGCAGGTTTTTCTCTTCTGCAAACAAAAACAAACAAACAAAAACAAAACAACAACAAAAACCCCACTACCTGGCTTTAAAACAAGAGTCCACAGGGCTGCAGAAATGGCTCAGCAGTTAAGAGCGCTGACTGCTCGGTTTGATTCCCAGCACCCACGTGGCAGCTCACACCTGTCTGCCCTTTTCTGGCCTCCTCGGACACCAGGGCACGAGGTACACAAACATACATGGCAGCGAAACGCCCATACACATACAATAAAAATGAATAACTTTTAAAAATTTTTAGAAAGTTCCCAAGAGTGAGATCAGCAGACCCAGAGCATAGGAAAGCTTCTTGTCAGGCCAGCTTACCTCAGGACGGCTGTGCTGGTTCACTGTTCGCAGCAGTGAGACTCTGTTTCCCTGAAAACCCAGCCTTGGGCCTCATCATCTTAACTGATTCTCACTAAACTTATGGATTGCCTTGACTGTGACACAGTGTCTGCCTGTCGTTGAGGACAAGGGAGACAGTAAACTTAAGTGTTTGACCTTCCTGCCAAGTGTCTCCAATTTACTCTTACTACTCGACCCCAGCCCACTCTGCGGTGTCATTGGCTAAACAGGAATCTGTGTGGGCAACTGTTGGAATCCTTAGAGGGCACACATGACTCACTCAGGAGTCTCCCTTGAGCCCTCTCACTTGGTCAACTCCCCAGGATGGACACCTTTTGTGTTCCACCTGCCTCTTACCTAAGTAGTGCTGGACCAGCAGGGGGAGCCTGTCTCTTTTAACAGATGTCCCAAGATGTCCACTTCTAGAACCTCCCAGTACTGAGAGTTCCTTCACTAACTGTCTCTGCAGATGACTTGAATGAACACACAACACACACACACACACACACACACACACACACACACACACACACACACACACACACACACAGAGCCATAGCACTCTCTGCTTTGGAGACCTGCCTCTGGCACCCACTCCCACTGTCTGCATGATAGAGACAGCTTCTTTTCTGTTAAATGGTAATGAGGCTGAGGTGTGTGATTTGTAGAGTCCCCCCACCCCAAATCCCACAAAAGATTGGCAGTAGAGAATGCTATAGTTAAAGAAAGAGGCAGGTCCAGGACCAAAGCACTCAGCTACACTGGAGCTTCTGATTTTGAGGCGAGGCACTAGGTACTGGCCTATTCCTCTGTGTAGACGCAGCAATAATACCAGGAAATCACGGTACTCCACTTCAAGTGCTGGGATTACAGGATGTACCACCGTATCTAAATATACTCACTCCTCCACCCCCGCCTCTGCCCTGGGACAAAGTCTCACTAGCTAGCCTGGAACTCATCATATAGACCAGGCTGGCCTCAAATTCATAGACCCACCTGCCTCTGCCTCCTGAGTGCTGGGATTAAAGGTGTGTGCCACCACACTTGGTACTGTAAATATTCTTGATCAGCAAGAAGCAAGCTGGTAAGGATGGCTTCAGGACCTCCAATTATTCCCACATAGCCATTTTTCACTTCCTGGGGAGATGGCTTACTCTCTCCTTTGCTCCTATCTCATCCTGTCCAGCTTGCAGGGAGGTGCAACTTCCAAGTGGGTCTTGCCTCTCCTGGACCTGAGCCCTGTGACATCCATTGGCCCCGGTGCTGCCTCTGATATTTTCCCACACTGAATTTTCTTCTGAGTCTGCTCTCTAGTTTTCCCATTGAGTCACAAACCCTGTTCCTGGTAATTGACTCTCCAACATTGTCCTTTGTAATCGACTCTCTTGGTCCTCTGTAGTTCTTTGTAGTAATCACAGTGTGATTAATTAACACCCTGTGCAATTGTGTGCTAATTATCTGCATTACCCACCTCTGTCTTGTAAACTACATAAGGATGAGAACTCATTTCTTTCCTATTTCTTCCACACTTAGTACTTAATAAATATGTGTTGAAATAGTAGGAACTTCTAAGAGTATGTTCCAGAGGGCAGGGACTGTTTCTGTGTGGGGGTGGGGAGGCAAATGTGCAGAGGTGTGTGTGCATGTTCATGTGTGAAAGCCAGAAATCAACCTCAGCTGGTGTCCTCAGGAACCATCTACCATCTCTCATTGGCTGGGGAATTCACCAAATAGGCTAGATCAGTTGGTTGATGAGTGCGCTTCAGAATCTGCCTGCCCCTGCCTTCCCAGTGCTGAGCTAACAAGTGCATGCACTATACCTGGCTTTTTACGAGTTCTAAGCTCGGTTCCGAATGCTTGCCCAGCAAATGCTTTACCAGTTGATCTGTCTCCCGAGCCTCAGGCTCTGATCTGTTTTCTTCATGGCCTGCAGAGAATGTAGCACTGAATGAACAGTACTTGTCATTTGCAGGATGAGTGAATGAGCGAACAAATGAATGAACCAGTTGCTGAATGAATGAATGAATGAATGAATGAATGGACAGACAGATCACCCATCTCTTTTCCCCTTTGCATCATGTCTGAAGCTGATCTCTCAGTCCTGACCAGCCTTTCTGGCAACTAGCCCCATAAGGAGGTAGGTGAGAGAAGCCAGATGCCATTCACATTTGAGACAGTGTCTTGCTAAGGTACTCAAGCGTGCCTTGAACTTCTGATCTCCAGCCTCCGAGTGGCTGGGATTATAGGCCTGCACTGCTGGGCCTGGTAAATCCGGGACCTTTTTAATTTTTTCTTGCTCATCTGAAAATGGGACCTTTCACTGAATTTCTATCTGAGGTATGTGTGTGCAAATGCACACATGGTCGTGTATGTGAGGATGAATACTCACATGTCACAGTGCATGTATGGAGGGCAGAGGACAACCTTGGCCATCTGTGCTCACCTTCTATCTCATCTGTGACAGGGTGTTTTGTTGTTCACAGCTGTGTAGCCAGGTTAGCTGGGCCAAGAGCCTCCAGTGAGTTTCCTATCTCCATCCGCCATCTCACCACAGGAATGTGAGACTACAGAAGCATACAC